AACGCGCCACGGCCCGGGCGGAGCAAAGGGGACGACCTGCGGTGACTGCCGGGCGCGAAACGCGCCGCGGCTTCAGCGCGGAGTGAGGTCCGTAAGGGCCATCTTCCTGGCTACGTCCTTAGACGTAGCTCGGGCATCCCAGATGTACGTCTGGAAAGATTCGGACGTCCATCGCCCCCAGCGTTTGACAAGGGCGGCGTCACCGAAGGCCGCCCAAAGGGCTGAAGCCCCTCCGAAGCGTAGGCTGTGGGTTCCTAGGGCTCCTTCAGGTTCCCCTAGGGCCTCGGCTGCTTTGCGGATCAGGGTCGAGATTAGGGTCCGTGGAAGCGGTTTGCCCTCCGTGTCTCGGAAGAGGAGTTCTTCTTCCTCGGGCCCCCCCGCAAAACGCAGGGGAAAGGCCCTGAAGAGCTGAGCCGCCGCTTTCACCGGGCAGAGCAGCAACCCGGTCTTGTAGTGGTTGCGGTACTCTCCTCTGTTGTAGACGTCAGTCTTCGACCCTCGGATGAATACTGTGAGTTCATCCGCATCCTCGAAGTCCCTGAGTGAGCAGGGCTTTCCTTCCCGCGTCAGCCTCAAGTCCTTGCCCCGCAGCCCACGTAGCGGAGAGTGGTACCCAGTGTCGAGGTACTCAGAGGCACGGAGAAGGAAGAAAAACGCTAGGTAGAGGGCCCCCCATTGAAGAGCGGCCTCCGTTTGTTCAAGCGTCCCTCCGTGAAGGTGCGTATAAAGCCATCGCAACATCTCTGGCGTCACTGGCCTCCGCCGCTCCTTCGTACCGTACCTTTTCTTCAGCCCTGCCACCACCAGCGCGACTCTGGGGAGTTGCGCGAAGGGGTCCGGGAGACCACTGGTGATGTGGAAGGCCCGAATTGCCGCCAGTCTGCCCTTCACGGTGCCGGGAGCCTTGTCAGAGTTCACCCCGCAGTGCACCACGTACTGCACAAAGAGGTCTTCCTCCGAAGCGGAGTATGCGGCGACTCTTCTCCACGGGGAAGTGCCCCTTCGGGCACAAAAGAGCTCCCACCACCTCCACTGGGAGAGGTACGACTTCTGGGTGGTTTCGGCCAGTCGGGCCAGGAGAAGGTGAAGGGTCTCCGCCTTCCACTCTCCCCCTCCCTGAAGGTGCGCCACCCGGAGTTCTTTGCTGTCCGGGTAGAGCTGCTTGGCTTTACTCGGGCCTCCCACGAAGGGTACTGTGACCGGCGTGGGCGTCTGGGCCTTCGTTCTGGCCCCCTTACGTGTGGGGGGCACGATAGGTCCAGAGTCTTCGAAGTGTACCGAAGCTCCTGCCCTTCTCAGCCCTTTGGCCCCGGGCGAGAAACTCGCCTCAGGGTTCGGGGCTGAGGAGCGCGGGTCCGCCCTACAGCCTTGCAGCAGAGCGTTTGCCCTATGGCCAAGGACGGGGCGGCTCCCGTGGAGGCGCTAGCCTTCGCTTTGGCTTTGCGCTCTTCCCTCCTCCGCTTCTTGCGGGCCTGGGACTCCGGCTGGCGCCGCAGGGACTGCGCGCCTTTTGTGCTGAAGGAGGGTCCTTCGGAACTCACGTAGCTCTCGCTTGGCAGCAGCGTCGAGGTCCTCGTCCAAGCCCTTGCCTCCTTCGCGTCCGGGTTCCTCTGTTCCGAACCGGCGCTGTTGAGCGGGGGAGCTCCCACTTTGGCCTGGTCGGCCTGGTGCTTTGCGGCCCGCTCCCGGGCCCGGTGTCTTCTCCGCGCGACCCAAACAGGGACCCCAGCCTCGATGTCGGCCTGCAGTCGGTTGTTGGTGAGGACCGGCTCGCCCTGTCGAGGGCCGACGGGGTTAGCTCGTTCGAGACGTTGGAGTTCGGGGTTCAGTCCAGCACGGTACCGCTCTTCCTCCTCAGCTGCTTGAGCTACCCGGGCTCTTTCCTGACGCGCTGCTTCTTCGAGCCCCTGTCTGCTGGCCCTTCGGCCCTCGGCGAGCTGCCGGAGGCGCTCAAGCGTCTCGGCTTTCTCAGTGCCGCTCGCGTTGGCTTCCAGGAGCGCTTGGGACAGGTTGGCCCAGTTGGCGTTGTCCGCCTGGGCCACTGACGCCAACAGCAGCAGCTTGGAAGACCCGAAGATGATCTTCCTCCGCTCTCTGCGAGGCGGGTCCGCTGAGGGAGCCCGAAGCTCTCCGCTGCCCATGGCCGGTTCCTCCTCGGCCTGGGGTGGCGGTTCCGAAGAGGCGCGCCCACGCCCTTGCTGCGAGGTAACCACCCGAGCTGCACTTCGCTCCCTAGGGTCCTGCTCGGGGGTCTCCGTGGTGGGCCCGGCTCCGGGGCCCTCTTTAAGCACGACAGGTGCCGCCCCTTGGTGGGAGGGGGAGGTTCTCTGCAGGTCGTAAGTCGGAGCGAACGAGGAGCTCCAGGCACGCGGGCTTGCTCGCAGGTTGAGCGTAGGACCCCAGTCAGGGGTAGCTTCTTCCTCGTCACTGTCCCCTGTCTGGAGAGAGATCACCGTGGGTTGGTCCAGGCGCGCCCCTTCGGTCTCGCCTTGGGTTCGAGCTCCGGGCGCGGAACGCGCCGCGGGGCCTTCCCCTGTGGCTTCCTTCATGGGCTCGTCCAGATCCGGTTCCCCCGGTTCGGCCTGGGCGACAGCAAGGTCCTCTTCGTCGGCGCTCCAGTCGAGGTCGGTTGCCAGCTCGCAGTTCCCTTCCTCCCGGTCCTTCGTGACCTCTTCTCGGTCTGCGGCTTGAGTGTCCAAGGTCTCTGCGTCGACCACGAGGTATTCCTGGTCGTGGAGGCTAACCTGCGCTAGCCTGTTGGCGACCTCGGCGACCTCGTCTTGGAGGGAGGCTGGCTCGGTAGGGGGCCAAAGGCCGCCGGTTTCGCCTGTGCTAGCCGCGGCAGTCCTTCGGTCCACGCCTCCTACCAAGTTGTCCCAGGGCCCATACTCCAGGATGCAGCTCGCGGGCACACTCTCGTGGGAGAGGTACAGGCCGTTGCCGGTGCGCCTGAAAGTGCGTCCGTTCCTGGAGGCTGCACGTGGGTCGATGGTAACTTTGACCTCCAAGTCGTTCCTCCAACGCCTCTGGTGACACTCCGGCTCCTGGAAGTGTAGGTCGCGACGGGTTCTGAGGAGGCCGTTCGCCTTGATCGAGTTGAGGTGGCGCTGGTACGTTCCATGAACGAGCACCGAGGGAAGCTCGCCCTCAGGCACGCGCCACCCCGGGCCTGTGACATCCGGGATGGTATGTCCCGACCAGGCGGCGATCATGTGATCGCCCTCTTCCCCGACATCGTACCAGGAAATTCTGGCCTTGGTGTTGTTGGCGACGGCAGTTTTCAGCTGCCCCTCGTCGACTCCCAGGCGGGACAGGGGCTCAAACCTCAAGGCGTCCCGGACAAGGACCCACCCGTCAGCCGTGATGGGTATGTCTCTCGTACCCGCTTCGTGCCTCAGAAGACGGGAGAGAGCCTTGTCCACCTCTAGCCTCCTGTCCTTAGACTTTCCTTTCTTACCACCCTTTCCCTTGGGGGGCTTGCCGCCCTTTCCCTTGGGTGGGCCGCCTGCCAGGCGGTCGGGCACCGGTCGGTAGCCTGAGCTGTCGGCCAGGAGCTCCTCGCGGTGGGTGTGTCTTTTTTCGAGCCACGCTCCTACGGTCTGATTGTCTCCCGCATAGGCTACGAGCTTGCCTTTCCATTCGGGCAGCAGCTCCTTGACCGAGACGATTAGATCTTCGTCGGGGCTGGGCTCGAAGGCGAGCTCTTCCGCCCCCTCTCGCGCTTCCGGTGAGGTGGCGAGGGCTTCTCCAGGAGGGGTTTCCGAAAGACATCGACGGACAGGGAAAACGCACGGCCCGAGGTCCAGTCCACAGCAGCGACCCTGTCAAGGGTCGCGTCCCCAGAGGCCCACACAACCGACCGCCTAAACTTAGGCATCGCAAGCAGCTCCTGCAGACTCATGGCCGAAACCATCGGATGCGTGAAGGTGGTGGACCACTCATCCCGAACTCCGATCAAGTACCTCTGCACCTCTACGGCTTCCCAAAACCTGACCCAAGTCCTCTCGCGAGCAACCGGGGTGTGCCCCTTGGGGACAACCCGGCCTGTCTCGTCGGGGGGCCCAAGAAGCGCGTTGGTAGCCCCCAAGGCCCCAGAAGCCCCGAAAGGATTGGCATGGCCGAAAGCCAGAATTGCTGGTTTCCGCGCAACTCCTGCACCAGGGAAAGATCCACGACCCTGCATCCGTAGCTGAAGTCGGGCAGGTTGAGGAGGTGCGCGGCTTTCAGGAGCTTGGGTTCAGGGAGGCTGCGCGTGAGGAGATCGGAGTCGTAAAGCAGCCCCCAGATGATCTTCGAAGACTCGAAGCGTCCCTCCTCCCAGTCCTTTTCCTCATTGATGGCTTTCTCGCCCAAGGCGGTCCTGGTGAGGGTCGCGAGGGTTTCAGCTGCGATAGCCGGCCTCAATCCCACATCTGGTTCCACCAAAACCGAATCATCCATGAGGATCATGGTAAAGAAGGGAGTGGAGTCGTTGACGTGGGGTTCGGGAGGGGCGAGCGACTCGAAGGCCGTCTTTATGACCCATGCGAAAGTCATGTAGTGTCCCGGCGCCCCCCACCCCAAACTCTCCGCATGGAAGGTCTGCTGCGAAGAAGCGGACGTCGGAAGCCCCCAAGGAGATCCACTTAAACGCCTCCGCGGTATCTTTCTTCGCAAGACGCACCGGGACCCCCGGAAACCTAGTGGCCCACCAGAGGATGAGCCTCGCAAGCTCAGAATGGCGAGGTTGAAGGGCCGGAGGGTGCTCCTCCTTCTTGCAGTAGGAGTTTACTCGGCGTGCATCCCACACGAGGCGGCCTTTCGTGCTGAGGGTACGGCCCGGAAGCCTCTTAGGGACTCTAGCCAAGGGTGCTGAGATCACCCCGTCCAACTCGGGACCCGTCTCTTTTACGGGGAGGGTTTCGATTCCGAAAGCGAGCCGGGGGTCGACGAGGTTCCAGACGAGCCGGCAGTCGTCGCGGCATGGAGATGCGCGACGACCCGGGCGAGCAAGAGCAAGTCCGGAGGCTCCGCGAGCGCGGCTCGCATGCGAGCGCGCCGGTTACCCCGCCGAAGGCGAGGCCGCCAAAGAAGGGCGGCCGTAACAAGGCGCCCAGCACTTTGCAGCCGGAGCACACCCCTCCGAGGCCGCCCTCTGGCCCACGGGCAGATGCGCGCCGGCCGCCGGTGTCGAGTTTTCCGCTGGAGCGGCCTCGACCGAAGGCGCCCAGCCAGCTGCCGATGCTCCTGGGCAGCCCATCGAGTTCAACCCCAGGCAGTTCTATAGCTGGGGTTCCTGGGTGTGCTATTTCTGCAACGGGGTCAAAGCAGGTGAGTGCTTCTATCAGCCGAGCGGCGGCCCTCGCGAGACCACCCGGTGCAACGGGACCCGGGCGGCC